TGAGAAGGAGAAAGGGAAGTGAGTGTGGCTATAAAAGTGTAACAATGAGAAAGCTTGTGGCAATGGAAATGTTCTATATTTTAATTGTGGTGGTCATTATACAAAGTTACACATATGATAATATTTTGTAGAACTACACACACACATATGCACGTGTAACTGGTAAAATTCAAATATGCTCTGTGGATTTTACCAATGTCGGTTTCCTGGATTGATATTGTACCAGAGTTAGGCAAGATTTTACCATTGGAGGAAATTGTGTAAAGGGTACACGAGGTCCTCCCTGTATTTTTTTGGAAACTTCCTGTGAATTGATAATTATTTCAAAATAGAAGGTTAAAACCAAAGAAATATATGACCATAATATATGTAGGTTTATTACTGGATTCTGAGCTATTTTATTGACTTATTTGTTATTTCTTACTCTAGTACCACACTGTTTTGATAAGTGTAGTTTCATAGTAAGTCTTGAAACCAAGAAGTTCTATAACTCCTCTTTTTAAAGTTTTGCTGGAAACCCTAAGACGTATGTTTACTCATCCCAACATCTGCACAGATTATCTTCTCTAATGCCTTGCTCCATAGATTTCAGCTGCTTCCACTACCCTGAACTCTGATCTTTGCCTCCTTCATTCAATGATGCTGGGATCAGAAAATAGTCACCAGGCAAAGAGCTGAGGCAGTCTTGGGGCTTAATTTGTGAGTTTCTCTTTTCCTGGGGATCATAATCATGTGCTGACTATTGCTCAATATCTTTAAACAGTTTCCTTGCACATTTTATGCAGTTTTATGATTTTTCTAACGGCAGGAGTGCTGGTCTAGTGTCATTCCCAACATAACTTTTTTTCCCACTTAAATCAGTCAGATTCAGCTTTTGTTGCATGCAGCTAAGAACCTTGGCTGATACAAGCCCCTATTTTATGCCATGTCCTATGATAGGTGCTTGACATTTATTATGTGGTTTAATCTTAATTTAGATAAATAATTCCATGTGGAAACCAGAGAAATGGGCAAGAAGCATTTCTAACAGTGAGGACAAGGGTGAGGGGAGGGAGGTTGCTATGAGAAGCGCATTCTAGATGGAGGAAGAATGTATAAATGCACAAGAGAATCAGCATGCAAGAAATAAAGTATGAAACTTTTGTCATCTTCAAGGGGATTCTTCTGAGACCTTTATAAATTCTCCTAATCCAATAAAACCACTATACATAGAATTTCCTCCATAAATGCAGTAAAGTACAATTGTTTATATAGTAGGATATTATGCGACAGTTTTAACTTTCCCACCCCTATCACCATGGGTACTACTAAAATAACTAACCATCCTAGTTTGCCCTGGACTGTTGTGGTTTTAGCACATTACAGGAGAATTCCTCAGCCCCAGGAAAACTGAGAAAATTATCCTTTGGTATATGTGACATTGCTTACCTAGCTACAGTTGATTGGTTTTGGGTGGCCACCAGACTCAAACTTGGCCAATAAATCCCTCATAGATTTATGGAGATAGGACCATAAAGGTCTATGGCAACCAGGAAGTGCCTCTCAGATCTTTCAAGGGAAAACCTACTATGAGGAGTGGAGTCAGCTAACAGTCTCCAGCTGGAGCACTTTTGGGATATTTTTGCATTGTTTCATCCAAGGTCATTCCTTTCCCAGGCATCTCCAGCCAATCTCTGAGCACAAGAAGTGCATAGGGCTGTTTCTGTCTAACGCAGGATTCCTCTAATTAGCAATCTCTGTTGGGGTGGTTGAGACTTCCATAGAGCTGTACTGTAATCTCCTCTTTATCTTCCCAGCCATTACCCACGATAGATCTCTAGCTTTGTAACTCCATCTTGGCATCTGCTTTTCAGAGGACCTGATCTGGCTTAGTGTCTCTCTTCAGTGGTTGAATCTGTAATATGAAAATCTAGGAAGGTGTCCGTAACCATATCTACTGTTACATGGACTTCGGAAACAAAAAGAGCTTGAGAGGAGTGGGGAGGAAAGCAAGGGAGGGAGCAAGGGCGAGAGAGAGAGAGACAGAGAGAGAGAGAGAGAGACAGAGAGCGAGCAGATAAATGTGCAGGGAAGAATAGGGGTAAAAGAATTATAGAGTCAATGTCATTGGAATCCTTGTTTTTGACAATTCTTGAGACCTAACTATACCTTGCCTTTTTAAAAGTTTTGATTGTTCCAATCTTTCTTGAGTTCTGTGAAACACCTTATTATCTTCCCATAAATTTCTCTCTTTGGCTTGTTAGTTTCAGGTAGGTTTTGATAACTTTTAACTAGTGAGTCATAACTAATACTTCTTCACTGCAAAATTAATTATATAGGTTACTAAGTTTATGCTGAATCACATTTCTGTTGAGAGTCAGAAATTTTCATATCCCCAGAGTCAGAAATGTTCATAACCCCAGACACAAATTAATATACCCTTCAGCTTTACCAAATTTTTGTCCATGAGTAGGTGAGGAAAATTTTGTATGGTCTAGATGATTTCTGCAAAGTTTTAGCATTTATTTGTTTCTGTATAGGGTACATAGCAGAATTCTTCTCATAGACCAAAGTTTCAGCCAAATTCAACATTGCACTGTGTCCAGAATATTTATTTTCTGGCTAAAAGTCACTACTTTCATTATAAATCATCCTTATTTTTTAACTCTTTCAAAGATCACTAGTAGTTAGTTCTTTTAAAGACCATCTTTGATAAATCAAAGTTCAAAATCACAATTAACACATAGTTTTAACCACATTTCAAGAACTCAAGGTTATGAATATGATTAGAGATCATTAAAGCTTCATTGAGATGCTGATAAAACCAAGGTATAGATGTTAGTCAAAGATGATGACTCTCAGACATCATTTAATACAGTAGTCTATGCAAGAGACGCTGATAATTTGGCCTAGAGCGAGGGTCTAAAAATTACTGTCCACAGGGCAAATCCTGCCTCTTGCCTGTTTTTGTAAATAAACTTTTATTGGAACATACCTACATTCATTCATTTAGGTATTGTCTGTGACTTCTTTCACTCTATGAAAGCAGAATCTAATACTTGGAGACAGAGACTGTATGTGACTCAAAAAGCCTAAAATATTTACCAGCTGACCCTTCATAAAAAAAAAAAAAAAAAAAAAAAAAAAAAAGCCAAACTCTGGTCCTGAATGTTAGCAGTACAGTGAGGGACAAATGCATGAGCAGATTATATTTTGGAAGCAGAACAAGAACAAGTTTGGTGTGTTCTAGGAATAGCTGGTGTGGCGGGAACATAAAAAGACCCAGATACTATTGTTTTTTTCTATTTTGTTTTCTAGCACATTTGTACCTATTGCTTTTATTCAGCTATTCATTCATTCCAAAAATATTAAGGAGTTCCACTCTGTGCCATACACCATGTGACCTGCTACACACACACACACACACACACACACACACACACACACAGAGGAAACAGTAAAATATCTGACTTTTATTTTATTACAAGCAAAATTTATATTTTATTAAAAGTAAAATATCCAGGCTCCCTAGAGTCTGGAACCAGATTACCTAGGTTTGAATCTCAGCTCTAAAATTTAACTGCCATGTGATCCTGGTGAAAATTGCTTAACCTACCTGTGCCTCGGTTGCCTTATCCTTAAAGTAGAAATAATATCATCTACCTTAAGTGTTTGATATAAAACACTTAGCCCAGTGTTTAGCATATAGTGCACATTTTATAAATGTTGGTTACAATTATTAAGGAAACTTGCTTCTTTTACTGACTCAAACAAACAGGTGTTGTCTATCAAACTCTTGCCTTTTCTGAGTACTTTGTGTTGATTTCAGCTTACCTTTAGTGAGCTCATTCACTCTTAATTGCTACAGTTATGATCTTCCTATTACAGGACATTGGATCATGCTGTTCTTTCTGCCTAAAACTTTTTTCGTTTTCCCATTTTCCCGGCCAACTCCAATTTGTTCTTTAAACATAAGGGCATAAGGGCATGGACTATATCTGGACTTTGTTTATCATTTTACACCCAGAGCTTAGTGCAGTGCCTGGCATACAGTAGGCACTCATTAATGTTTATTGCATGAACGAATACCAGTCAGACTAAATCTAGATTCTCATTGTATTTAATTTTTCCTCTTTATGTTACATTTATACTCTGGATATGTCCTTTTGCTTACACCCTGGTTCCAGAAATTTTTCAACAAATATTTATTAAATATATAGACATTTTAGACTCTGTGCTTGGAGAACAAATATGAAAAATACAAGTTTTCTACTCTCAAGAAGCTACTTACTCATTAGAGGACAATGACATGCAGAATGAGAAATTATAATCTAGAATAAGTGGTACTCATGAGGTCTGTAGGAGATCCATTGAGCATACTGGACCCAGGGAAAAGAAGAATACAAACTTATTTGGGAAAGATAGGGAAGGCTTCACAGAGGAGGTACTATCTAAATTGAGTCAAAAATAACAAGTAGCCGTTTTCCAAATAAACAAGTGCGGGGTAAGAGCATTCATGGCAGAAGGAATTCCAGAGCAAAGGTGTGGAGGCTTTTTCCTCTTTTGTTGATCCTGACTTCTACAAACCAATTCCTTTATTGCTTTTTTGACATTAGATTAACACTTTTAATCTCGAATCAATATAATCCTGCACAATTTCCCATTTTTAGTATATATGCATTTTTCGTTCCTAATAGGTATTCCCTTCTAGTGCTTACTGTACATAGCACTGTATCTGGACCCTGGGTTCAAGATGCTCAGCTGAATCGATGGGAGTAATGAGCGGTATATGACGTCCATAAAGTCAAGAAAGTGGTGGAAAGGTAGTAGAATTTTAGTTCTAGTAAACCTTGATAAACCACCATAAATAGAAGCACCTATGGCTTCAAATCTGTTTAATAAAGGCGATTGACTGCCCTGGCCCAATCCTTCAGAATGGGAGAGTAACGCCCTAGCACCGGGCGAAGTCCGGGGCGCCAGAGGCACCCACCCCGCACAGCCGGAAGGAGTGGGGCGGGGCCTAGAGGCTCTCCGCTGGGCCCGAGCGGGCTGGGGGAGGGGAGCGTCGGGCCGACGGTTTTGGGGGTGAAAAGGCAAAAGGCGGGTGAAAGGCTGCCTCCCGAGGCTCTCCTTGCTTGGAATTCTGCCCACTCTGCGAAGTTAGGAGTCACGACCTCCAGCACAGGTGGGTTCCGTCCCGTGGGTCAGGGAAGGGGTGTCCCGATGGGTGTTGCGGGTGGGTTTGCCCAGGCGCACGCTTTCAGGCCTGTCGCAGTGGGCGGCGGAGGCTCTCACCCGGGCTGCTGGGCCCAAGGGCGGTGGTACTCACCTTAACCCTGGCGGAGGAGAAGGCCACTCCTGCCTTGCCGCAGGGCTGTCGTCACGATCTGTGCCAGTTGCGCTACAGAGTCTGCCCGGAGATCAGCGTGAGGCCAGATGGGCCCAGCGCTCAGGAAGAGCTGGAAGAGCTGGAGCAAGCTGGCGTTGGGACTGACGCCCAGTGTACATTGTTTCAATCTCGGTCGAACTTTACAGCCCTGGATCTGTCACTGACTTGGTGTTTAGCTTTCAGCGAATCCCTGCCCTCTCCCTGCCTCACTTTGTTCGGCAGTAGAGTGGAAGGTGGAACTCAGCTGTCTACAAGATCTTGCAGCACTTTCTTTCGTTCTCATATCAACTAATGTGCTCTGCCCAGATTTTACCCTTTGTCTGCCCCTCTGAAGCAAGGCACTGGGTAAGTTAGGCTAGGAAGTTTTCTTTCTCTTCCGAAAATAATGGAAAAGCCTTTAAATACTCCTGACTGCCCTAGAAACGACATTCAAACCATTAACCAGATGATTGCCTAAAATGATGTTTGTTGAGTGGACATAGTACACTGCCTAGCAAAAGTCTCATGATAAACGAGTTGGGTGCTTTAACTCAGTCGCTGAAAGAAAAACTTGAGCTCTCATATTTAAGAAACACCTTCATAATCCACTCCCATGCAGTAGTCTTTTAGTGTTGCTTGTAGCTTGGTTTGCCCTTTCAGGACACACTGTAGTAAAAATTACACTTTATTTTACATTAAGTCAACTATAAAGAGAAAGGCCTATAAACATTATGGATCAACATTTTGGTGTCAACTTCTGGTTTCTCCTCATTAAGGAACTGGTGATAATGATAATGGTGACCATATATTATGCAAAATACTATAATTTTCACAACCACCCCAAGACGTTAAGTATGGTTATTTATCATAAGGCTTAAAAATCTTATAGTTTATCTCATAAACAGTGTGATGAACGGAATGTTTACTGCAGTGGTTGAGTATGAGGACTTGTTTAGTGTGCCCCACCTAGTTCTTTATTTCTTGGAAGCTTGGACTGGAACAGATCACTTCCTTGTTTTGGCGTCTGTTTCAGGAACCACCATTTGTTCTGTATTTCTGCTTGTCAACCCTGGGAACAACAGTAAAACCAGCCAAGCAGATCACTCGGTGTTTACAATGTTTCTGACAGCTGTGTTTTCTGCCTCCAGGGGGTGGGAGGGGGACCCCTAGATTAATAAACCTCTTTGTTGGGAAGAGTCTCTTCCTGCTTGGAGCAAAACAGAACGCAGATCCATCAGTTGGGCACCACTGTGATCCCCTTTCTATAACACTAAGCATCCCCCATGCTCATATGGGCTGTACATGCACCTGCCATTGCCCTGTGTAAAGATTTACAGGATAAGAAACCCTTGAAAGAACTCAGCCTGCTCCATACCTGTAGGTTCTAGGGAAGGAGTGACTGATACGTAGGTGAGTGTTCTTCTGGATGAGAGAAAGACCTCATGATTCCCCAAATGGTTTGCAAAGTGAGAAGAAAATTGTGCTGGACATCTACTGAGCCAACCTTAAGGGTGAGTTTTCTACTGGCTACTTGGCAGGACCTGATGTCTGCCTCGTTTAGCCATATTTTTACTCTATTCATCATACTCTGTTCGTTCACTCCAAAGGCAATCAATGAATGTCAACTCTGTGCCAGGATGCTGATCCATTCACTGAGATTGGCAGCACGGGAGGACAGCCAGTTCGGGAGGACAACAGGAATTCAACTTTAAGCATACTCAGTCTGAGGCCTCCTCACCTTTCCCCACTCCCTATATCTAACCACTACAAAATCTTGTCACTTCTACATCTTGAATATTTAAAAAATCCATCCACTTCTCTTGCCCCTATGGCCACTCCAGATTTCAAGCCAGCAACATTCTTTTTTAATTGATTTTAAAATTTTTATTTTAAAAGACCAAATGGTTGCTTGACCTTCGATTCTCATGAGAAAACTACAACCCTTACTGTCACCACCACCACAGCAACAACAACAAACAGCCTAATGACCTCTGTGTGATCCCTAATAAATTGGCAAAGTAAAGAGATGAATGTTCTCTTTTTTTTTCTTGATGCTGAATGTGTTTAAAAACATGTTTAGGATAATTAACGTGCCCTAAAATTCATGTATTTAAAGTGATTTTATAAATTTATTGGGTGGTGCAACCATCACTACAATCTAATTTTAGAACATTTGCATCACGTCAGTGACCTCTTCCTTGCCCATTTGCAGTCAGTCTTCATTACCACTCCCAGCATCAGTCAACCAGTAATCTACTTTCTGTGCCTATGGATTTGCCTATCCTGAAAATTTCATCTAAATAATGTCTCCAAAGTTTATTAATATTGTGGCATATATAAATACTTCATTCCTTTTTATAGCTGAGTGATATTCCATTGCATCAGTATACTACATTTTGTCTATCTAGTCATCAGTTGATGGACACTTGGATTGTTTCTATTTTTTGGCTATTTTGAATAAAGCTGCTATAAACATTTGTGTACAAGTTTTTGGGTGGACGTTCATTTTCAATTCTCTTGGTTAAACACCTATGAGTGGAATTACTTGGTCATATTATAACTGTATGTTTAATTTTCTGCCAAACTGTTTTCCCAAGGGGCTGTACTATTTTACAGTTGTTACATTTATATGAACTACCAGCAATGTATTTCTTCACATCATCACCACTTTTGTTATTTCCCCGTTTTTTTTTTTTTTTTTTTTTCAAATGTGTAGCTATTCTTGTGGGTGTGGAGTAGTATCTCATTGTGATTTAGATTTGCATTTCCCTAATGGCTAATTGAGCATCTTTTTATTTGATTGTTAGATATTTGTATATGTTCTTTGGAGAAATGTCTCCTCACATATATTACCCATTTCTGATTAGGTTGTTTCCTTACTATTGAGATGTAAGAGTTGCTTATATACAAGTCCTTTATCAGATATGTAGTTTGAAAATATTTTCTCCAAGTCTATGGTTTGTCTTTTCATTTTCTTACTATCGTATGTTGAAGAACAAAGGTTTTTACTTATTTTACTTTTATTTTAGTTTCAGAGGTACAGGGCCAGTTGGTTCTATAGATAAATTGTGTGTCACAGGGGTGTGGCGTACATATTATTTCATCACACAGGCAATAAGCATAGTACCCAATAGGTAGTTTTTTGATCCTCACCCTCCTCCTAACCTCCATCTTCAAGTAGACCCCAGTGTCTGTTGTCCCCTTGTTTGTGTCCATGTGTACTCAATGTTAGCTCCCATTTATAAATGAGAACATGTAGTGTTTGGTTTTCTGTTCCTGTGTTACTTTGCTTAGAATAATGGCTTCCAACTCCATCCATGTTGCTGCCAAGGACATGATCTCATTCTTTTTATGGCTGCATAGTATTCCATGGTGTATATGTACCAAATTTTCTTTATCCCATATACCATTGATGGGCATTTAGGTTGACTCCATGTTGTTGCTGTTGTCAGTAGTGCTGTGAAGAACATATGCATGCATGTGTCTTTATGGCAGAATGATTTATATTTCTTTGGGTATATACCCAATAATGGATGGCTGGGTCAAATGGTAGTTCTGTCTTAAGTTCTTTGAGGAATTGTCAAACTGCTTCCCACAGTGGCTGAACTAACTGACATTCCCAGCAGCAGTGTATAAGTGTTCCCTTTTCTTTGCAACATTCAACATCTGTTATTTTTGACTTTTTAATAATAGTCATCCTGACTGGTGTAAGATGGTATTTCATTGTGGTTTTCATTGATTAGTGATGTTGAGCATTTTTACATATGCTTGTTGACCACATGTATGTCTTCTTTTGAAAAGTGTCTATTCGTATCCTTTGCCCACTTTTTAATGAGGTTGTTTGGTTTTTGCTTGTTAATTTAAGTGCCTTATAGATTCTAGATATTAGCACTTTGTCAGATGCCTAGTTTGCAAATATTTTCTCCCATTCTATGTGTTGTCTATTTACTCTATTGATAGTTTCTTTTGCTGTACAGAAGTCCTTCAGTTTAACTAGGTGCTATTTATCAATTTTTGTTATTGTTGCCATTGCTTTTGATGTCTTTGTCATGAAATATTTGACAGGGCCCATGTCTAGAATGGTATTGCCTAGGTCTTCTTCAAGGGTTTTTATGGTTTTAGTTGTTACATTTAAGTCTAATCCATTTTGGGTTGATTTTTGTATATGGTGTAAAGAAGGGGTCTGGTTTCTATCTTCTACACACAGCAACCAGCAATCCTAGCACCATTTGTTGAATAGGGAGTATTTACCCCATTACTTGTTTTTGTCAGTGTCAAAGATCAGATGGCTGTAGGCACACAACTTTATTTCTGGGCTCTCCACTTTGTTCCATTGGTCTATATGTCTGTTGTTGTACCAGTACCATGCTCTTTTGGTTACTGTAGCCTTGTATAGTTTGAAGTCAAGTAATGTGATGCTTCCAGGTATGTATTTTTGCTTAAGATTTCTTTGGCTATTTGGGCTCCTTTTTGGTTCCATATGAATTTTAGAATAATATTATTTTAATTATGTGAAGAATGTCATTGGTAGTTTGATAAGAATAGCATTGAATCTATAAAATGCTTTGAGCGGTATGGCTATTTTAACAATATTGATTCTTCCTATCCATGAGCATGGAATTATTTTTCATTTGTTTGTATCATCTCTGATTTCTTTCAGCAGTGTTTTGTAATTCTCATTGCAGATATCTTTCATCTCCCAGGTTAGCTGTATTCTCAGGTATTTTATTCTTTTTATGGCTATTGTGAATGGGATTGCATTCTTTATTTGGTTCTCAGCTTGGACATTATTGATGTATAGAAATGCTACTGATTTTTGCACATTGATTTTGTAGCCTGAAACTTTGCTAAAGTTGTTGATATGATCTCGGAGATTTTTGTCAGAGACTATGGGGTTTTCTATGCATAAAATCATATTGTCTGCAAACAGAGATAGTTTGACTTCCTTTCTTCCTATTTGAGTGCCTTTTATTTCTTTCTTTTGCCTGATTGCTCTGGCCAAGACTTCCCATAGTATGTTGACAGTGGGCATCCTTGTCTTGTTCCAGTTCTTAGGGAGAATGCTTCCAGTTTTGCTCATTCAGTATATGTTGGCTGGGGGTTTGTCATAGATAGCTCTTATTATTTTGAGGCATGTTCCTTCAGTGCCTAGTTTGTTGAGGGTTTTTAATATGAATGGATACTGAAATTTATCAAAAGCCTTTTCTGCATCTGTTGAAATGAACATGTGGTTTTTGTTTTTAGTTTCATTTATGTGATTAATAACATTTATTGATTTGCAAACATCGAACCAACCTTGCATCCCAGGGATAAACCCTGCTTGATCTTGGTGAATTAGCTTTTTGGCATGCTACATTCTTCACGGATATTGGCCTGAAGTTTTCCTTTGTTGTTGTGTGTTTGCCAGGTTTTAGTATCAGCATGCTACTGGCCTCAAAGAAGGAGTTAGGAAGGAGTCCCTCCTCAATTCTTTGGAATAGTTTCAATAGGAATGGTACCAGCTCTTCTTTTATGTCTGGTAGAATTCAGCTATGAATCCTTCTGGACCTGCATTTTTTTCTGGTTTGTAGGCTTTTCATTACTGATTCAATTTTGGAACTTGTTAGTGGTCTGCTCAGGGTTTGAATTTCTTCCTGGTTCAGTCTTAGGAGGTTGTATGTTCCAGTAATTTATCAGTTTATTCTAGGTTTTCTAGTTTGTGTGCAGAAAGGTGTTCATAATAGTCTCTGATGGGTTTTTTTTTTTTTTTTTTGGTATTTCTATGGGGTTGGTGATGATGTCCCCTTTATCATTTTCATTTTTGATTGCTTATGTCTTCTCTTTTTTCTTTGTTAGTCTAGCTAGTGGTCCATCTTATTTATTCTTTAAAGAAACCAGTCTCATTGATTTCATTGATTTTTTTAAATCATTGAATGTTATAATCTTTCCTTTTGATACTGTTTTAGCTGTGTCTCAGAGATTCTGATATGTTGTATCTTTGTTGTCATTAGTTTCCAAGAATTTATTGATATCTGACTTAATTTCATTGTTTACTCAAAAGTCGTTCAGGAGTAGGTTGTATAATTTCCGTGTAATTTTACAGTTTTGACCAATCTTCTTGGTATAGATTTCTATTTTTATTGTGCTGTGGTCAGAGAATGTGGCTGGTATGATTTTTGTTGTTGTTGGTTTTAATTTGCTGATAATTGTCTTATGGCTGACTGTGTGGTCGATAGAGTATGTGCTATTTGCAGATGTGAAGAATGTATAGTCTGTTGTTTTCGGGTGGATTGTTGTGTAGATGTCTGTTAGCTCCACTTGATCAAATATTGAGTTCAGGTCCCAAATATCTTTGTTAGTTTTCTGCCTCGAGGATCTGTCTAATACTGTCAGTGGGGTATTGAAATCTCCCACTATTATTTTATAGTTATCTAAGTTTCTTCATAGGTCTCTGAAAACTGGTTTTATGAATCTGGGTGCTCCTGTGTTGGCTGCATATATATTTAGGATAGTTAAGTCTTCTTGTTGACTC